ATAAAGTAACCAAATTCCAGGCAAACAGGCATCAGTATTGTTAGGAAATACAGCTCTCTGCAGGGCAAAAAAGAGTGGTATGCCAGGTTTAAATAGGAATTTATAGCCACTGACTGCAAATTACCTTATAAAATTACTGAAACCTTCATAAAGTCATCAGTTATGCATTTAGTCTTGATTGTCATTTATTGCACTTCTTAATTATTCAGTAAACTTTTCTGGATTAAAGGGTGTGTTTCAAATTGACATGAGGCTGTTTTATTGATGTAAATTAACAGAGTATTTTACATAAGGGGCAGCTGAGGGACCAGCAGCAGAAGAGTCTCTTATCCACTAATAAAGGCAACACAGAGCTGGTGGTGTGATTTCAAGTGAGTGGAGTTGTGTGGAATGATGAGTGTGCAGGCAATAGTTACAAATCCTCAAAATCAGGATTGTTATCAGTATGGAGTGTGACTGTGGAGGCAGAACACAGACTTTTAATCACTCTGTTTAAAACAAGAGGGGGACTGACAGATAGAGAAAACATTGGAAAATCTGGTGGATTTATACACTGAGTCCACATTAGGTCTTCTGTTAAGTCTTTTCCAAGACATGCTTCACATGTTTTTGCTGTTGTTTGTTTTTCAGTTATTAGCATTTCATTCATTGGTGTTTCCTCAGGCTCACGAGGAGTTGTGGCCACATTCCACCCACTGCAACCCCTGTAGCACCATTATGTCACCAAGCAAGTGGCTCTATTTCTCCTAGAAGGTTCTGGACTTCATGGGATTCACAAGCCAGGGTGCCCAAATCCCCTTTCCTTTGAAGCTGCTCTCTGCTCTTTGGGTTTCATTCTGTGCTGTTCTGTGGAGGCAGTGTGATTCCAATCATACCATTGCTGATTGCATAAAGTATGCCCTGAATCCAACACGTTGTGTTAAAATCTGGTGTCTGGGCCCTGTCTGATTCTGAGCAGAGTAGCTGTTGGATTGTGTTCCAGCCATCCTCATCCCAAGCCAAGTTGGGAGAGACTTGATTGGGATATCAGTGAGGGGTAAAGACCGTGAAACCTCTGCTGTGATTGATGGAGTTGTGCACGGAGAGGACAAATATGCACAAATACTTACCCAGAATAGTAGGGCCTCAATTTGGCTGTATCTGGCAGACTTTTCAGCTCAGCTTTCAAGAAATATTGTTTTTAATTGACCTTGGTGTGAGTAATTTGAAGAGCCAGCGCTGCTTTTCGCAAGGAGAGTTTCAAGCATGGAAACTCCCATCGTATGTAAAATTAGTAATTTTACTGTATCATGAGTGATTAAACCTGACCCCCAGGGAGCCAAAAATAATGCTGTGTGACTTCCTTGCCCAATTAACACAGAACAAATGTGAAAATGTGTACATTACAGCAAATTGTGTGCTAATTGGCCTCAGAGAAATACTAACGACGAGGAAGAAATGGGCATGTAATTTCAAACATATTTGAGAGGTTTTGCAGTCTGCTTGCAAATAGGAGGGAAAAAAGTCGAAATTTGACAAAACCATTATTTGTTATGATTTATTCACTCAGCTCCAGTCCTGAACCTGGGAGTTATTGGCAGCTTCAGCTAAGATTCCTGCTGAGTATTTCTCCTTATAATGACTGCATACAGCATTTAGCTCAATGCTATTTTTTGGCATAGTGTCACAAATATCTATTTTAATTCTTCTCCCTATATGTGTAACTAGGGTTAGATTTTTTTATACTTTTTTGCTTTTTCTTGTGAAAATACCTCTAGATGCAAGACAATCTCCTTCTCCCTTTCCTGAGGAGAATATTCCACTCAAGTGCATCAGTAGGATTGTTCTCCTTGGGCAGGAACCTCTCTGCCAGGTCTGTACATCATTTAAGTACTGGCTTAAGCAGAGAATAAATGTCCATCTGTGCAGGGGAGAATTTCATCTGGTCAGGGAAGTTAGATCTGACCCACAGACTTAAGGAATCCAAGATTAACTCACTATTCCTAAAATCAAATTTCTTCCACTTCCTTTTCTATCACATCTAGAGCTTATATATTACATTTTCTCTATGCTTTCACTATGTCTTTGGAATAAAACTGGTTGAAGATGTAATTTGTGGGCTAGGGGTAAATCTCATTTTTCCATACTTTCTTCTGTCTTCCATAAGTACAGAAAGCAGAACTCTGGGATTTTCCTCTGCAGCAAGAATATCCCAGAATTTGTTACTGGAGCTGTAGGCTGGTGCATTGAAGTGTGATTTGGTCACAGTGAAACCCTTTTGTAAGAGATAGAAGGTCAAGTATGTCCAAAATTAAATGATGCAGTGCTATCAAATTGAAGTGTTTCAGTAATTTTCCTTGATGATTTCAGCCAAATCACGATGTCCCTAAGAAACACCACGATTTCACAGAATTAGCTTTTTCTCCTGGAAAAAAACTGGAACCAACATTATTTTAAGAGCCTGCTCTTCCAGCCTTGACATGTGCAAAGTTCCCAGGGATCTCAGAGGGGTTGTCATGTGGAAAGAGCAGTGTCCTGGCAGCAGGATTCCTCCTGGTTTAGCTCTTGCTGAAGTTGAACAGGTTCACTGTAAAACTTTTGGGTTTTTTGGGTTGATTTGCAGTGTCCTCTATGAGCTAAGTTAGAGCAGTGCAGCACTTTGCTCTGATCTTAAATTGTTTCTGCCGAGCAGACACAGAGACAGAAGTGTCTTTTTCACATCCCTGAGAGTTCCTCAGGACGTTTATAGGAGTTTGTACCGTTTATTTCCCAGTTAAATGTTTCCTCTCGGTTGTTGAGAGGTTTTTAATGGCTTGGAGGTCTTGTATTAAAAGCTCTGTAGATGCTACCAGTATTTTGTCTTTCTTGTGAACAGAGCTGTGGTGGAGGGATGGGCTGGAGAACAGAGAGGGGCTCTAAGGCTGTGGTTCTGGTTGGCTTCTGTGAATAAACCCAGCACCACTGAAAATGCCAATTGTGTATGGTGGAATGTTCAAATTAATAAGAAACTTAAAAATGACATCTTTTGGGAGACTTGTGAGCATGCAGCTGTCCTTTCTCATTGGAAAGATTGATTTTCACTAGTGTTATAATGTGTATTTTAAGTGGAAGTTGTCAGAACAAAATGATGCTAACAGGAGTCTGCAGAAGCAGAAAGATGCCAGTCCCAGGAAAACTCTGGTGCGTGATTCCTGTTGAAAATTTATGGGAAAATAAGATGTGCCAATCATCAGTTTAGAGGATGAAGAAGAGGATGATGTGGGTGGTTTGTGGCTGGGTTTGGTGTGATTTAATTTGGTTTTACTGGATTTCTTCAGCGGGGAGCAGTGGCCCGGACACTCTGTAAGCGCCACTGTCAAGTCATTTCCACTGATTAAGGACTTAAAAAATCCTTTTTGTTGCCATCAGGGGGAGCTTTTGAGATCTTTCAAGAGTGAAAAAAAAATATTTAAAAAAAAAAAAAAAAAGGAGAAAAAAAAGAAACGTCCCAGCTCAGAAACAGAGCTCTACAAACCAGCAAGCAGCCAGGAGCTTACCTGTGGCTACAACCAAGCCAAGGAAACCAGGGGAGCTGAATTCCTTAGGCTGAAAAATTAGAAATATTGAGAGAGGATTTTTTGACTCAATCCACCAATAAAATTAATAATTGATTTTTTTTTTTAATTTTTTATTTTTTAATTATTATTTCAAAAAAATAACCCAGGAGTCTTTGGAGCACTCAAAAGCCAAATCCTACTCTGTTGCTACAGCTTCTGGAAGGCAAATGCTCTTCAAAAAGCTTCTCTCCTTTTAGCTCCTGATGATTCGATGGGGACCTTTGATGCAACATTTGGATTAGCTGCACACAACTGCACTGAGGGGGACCACAAAAGGGGGAGCCTGGCTGATTGCATAACTTTGAGAAAATAATAAGAGGAAAAGAAGGAATTAGAAAGAGAGAGAGAGAGAGAGAGTGGAAAAGAGAGAAAGAAAGCAATTAAAAAAAAAAATATCAGAGACTCAAGTTTCAAGACTCTTTATGTGCTGCAGAGGAGCATAAGGTTTACCAGCAAAGTGCAACGGGGAGTCTGAGAGGAGAAATAGCTTTCTCTTTTGCCAAGAAAAAAAAATAGGAATGTGTGTTTTGGACTGGACTGAGAAAGAAAGCTGGGGAGATTGCAAAAAGGGGGGTGCAGCATTTCTGTCACATTGATCCATTCATCTTGATTGTCTTCTTTAAAAAATAAATAAGGGGGGGAAGTGATAGGGGGAAATAGGAAGAGAGGAAAAGAAGGGGGAAAAAGGAAAACAGCAGAAGTGTTTGAACCTCTGGAGCTATCTGCTCCTTCAAGCTGATTGATTAGTCATGATCCCTGCAGTTTTAATGGGAATCATTCAATTGGGAAGGTGGAGCACCCTAGAGTAGATTAGCATATTCTTGTTTACTCATCTTCTGAGGGGCTTTTTCTCTTTTCTTTCATTTTGTGGAGAAGAAGGGAGGGGGGGAGGTTGGGGGAAAGGAGGGGGTTGTGGCTTATGTTATAAAGGAGGCCAAAAAAATAAATAGATTAGAGCATCTTTTGGGGGGAGGGAAATCAGTGGGTCTGAGTCTTGGAGAAAGCTGGGGGTTTGTTTTGGTTTTTTGTTTTGTGTGTGTGTGAGTGTGTGTGTGTGTTTTTTTTAAGAAGAAAAAAATAAAGGGAAGAAAATTCAGCAGAGAAAAGAAGAGAGAGAGGAGTTCCAGCTGTGGAGGAATAGAGGAGAAGAAGACAGATAGAGAAGGAAGAACAGAGAAATACATTTCAACCAAGAAGGAGTTTTGATTTATTTGATTTTTATTTGTTTTAAGGAGAAAAAAAAATCTATAAGCAGGAAAAAGAAAGAAAGAAAAAGAAAAAAAGAAAAGAAAAAGCAACTGAGAAGGGTTATAAAAAGAGCAAATACCAAGAAGGGTGAACAAGAGAAGAAAGTCAAGGCAAGGAGGAGCCCAAAGCTGGCAGATCGGGAGGATTTGCAGGGGAGAAGGGGGGGGAAGATTGGAAATGCAGCTCTGGAGTTTGCTGCTGCCTCTTGCGCTTCTCTGTACAGCCCTAGCCAGTGGACCCGAATGTGGGATGGACGAGCGCTCCCGCAGGGCACGAAGGGACACCAGGCACAGCCGCCAGCTCCTCCACACTGCCCCGGGCACCTGTGCCACCAGGTTAGCCCGAGGAAGGCGCTCCACTGCTGGGCTGGAGCCTGGGCATGTCCCCCGCAGGAGGCAACAGCGGGAGGTAAAGGACGAAGAGGAGTCCCTTACCCCGAGCAGGGCGCTCTATTTCAGTGGCCAAGGTGATCAGCTGCGGCTCAAGGCAGACGTAGAGCTGCCCCGAGATGCCTTCACTTTGCAAGTGTGGCTGAAAGCCGAAGGCGGACAGAGATCTCCGGCTGTCATTGCAGGTAGGTCCGGCCGTGCCTGTGGCTGCAGCATCCCCGCTCGGTGCCGGGAGGCGGCTGGAGGCGTGCGTGTGTCCGGGAGCGGGCTGTGCACACCCAGCCCCGCGGGAGTGCCCCGCACACACACCGGGCACGCCAGCGCCTCTGCCAGCACCGCCGGGCTCGCCTTCACCCCGCCGCATATTCCGGGAGATCCCGGAGCTCTGCCGACCGCCTGGAAGTATAGGCTCGCAGGAAAAGTTATGTAAACTTTTGCATAGGGGAAATGGCAGCGCCCCGGGGTAGTTTCTGTCTTTCTGAGGTGCGGGTAGAAGAGCCAGCTCTTACGGTGGGGTTTTGTCTAATTTTCAGGGTGGAAAACTGTAAGTAGAGCATTTGAAAGTGGCTTGTTTGTATGTATGGAAAGAAATGTATGTGACTGGTGTGTGGCTGCAAAGAAACGCATATCTAAGGTTCCCCTACGATTTCCTCGGTTTTATTGGCTTTTTAGTGTACTCCACTGTTCGCTCTTCAGATGCAGTGTTAGCATGTGGTTTCCAAAAAGCTATAAAGGAGCTTTTTGGCTATTGTGAAACCTCAAATGAATCAAATGAGTTTATAAAGTTCCCAACCCCTCGACACTCAGCTACGGCTGGGACTCGCGCTGCAGCTAGAGGATGTGTGGAGTATTTTTGTCTCCCCTTAGAAATGGCAAGTGTAACATCAATGATTCTAAGGTCAAACAGCCCTATAAAATCATTTAGTACTCAAAGCAGCTACCAGTCTAAGCTGTCTGAGCTGGACAATAACAAGGAGTATTGCACTTTTCTTATTTAAATTTTATGAGCCCATCCTGAATTTGGGTCCCTCTCCCCGCGTCCTCTCCCTCTCCCCCTCCCTCCCGCCACCTCCCGCCCTTTCCTCGCTTTAGTGATAAAGTGCAGCGAAGTTGTCGTGAAATCGGATACTTTTCGGAGGGTTACAAACCCTTATAAATGTCGCCACATCCATCTTTTGCTCTGAAGGAAGTCATAGAAAATGGAAATGCCTTTAAAAAAAAAGAAATAATAAAAAAAGGGAAACAAGTCAGAAAGAGAAACGGGTATTGGGGGGCGGGGGGAAGACATGTTTTACAGTTCTTCTGGCAAGGAGATTCCCTGAAAGCACAAAGTTTCCATGTCCTAGGATGCCTTAAAGAGACAGGGAGGATTTCCCCTTTCCCTTTAAGCGGAGTCACTTCCTCGCAGGAGGCAGCGCTGCCTGTGCCGGTGGCTGCCCCGAGCCCCGCTCGCTGTCCCCGGCCACCTCCCTCCTGCCACATCCACGCTCCTCTCCCCCTCCCTCACCGGCTGCTGCCTCCCAAGAAAGTTGCTTTGTCCTGAAGAAAACAAAAACTGGGATGAACTCAGCCGTGCTTTCCCTTAACTTTCACCAAATCTCAGCTGCCCCGCTCGCTCCTGAGGAGGGAGCCGCGGTTCGTGCGGGGCTGCCGGGGTGGGCAGGAGGTGCCGGGCATGGGCTGGTCCCGTGTGCTTTCAGAGCAGTGATTTCATAGGTGAAACACATTATTCCTTGCTTTATTCCCCCTGGCTCTTCTGGTTCTCAACCCTAACTTAAACCCCAGGGCTCAAAGTGCTTCCCTTTCAAGTTAGGGAAGGCAGGACTGGGGTTTGCACAGATCTCGTCAGTACCAAAACAGGGTCAAGTGTATTTTTTAAGGTGCTTAATCCAACACCTAGGACCCCGTGTGTGTCTTTGGTGCAAGTATCTCTAATTCTCACAACAGGGAACCTAGGCAAACACACACAAAGATAATTTGTAGTAAAATACTTTAATTGGATGGGGGAGGTTGGGTTGTTGCCTGTATAAAACACTTGACCCATTTTATGCATGGAAATAACATTCCACTGTGAAAAATGAAGAGAAATGCCCCAGTTTTACACCGTAGAGCTTCAGCTCAGCTCGGGAGGACTTTGTGATTTTTATTTTATTTTTAAGCTCCCCCTGCCCCCCTCGCACTCACTCTTGAAGAGGAGCCAGGTTTGGCTCTGTGTGTAAACACCTGGAAGAACTCCAAGAGGAACTCACTTGGAGTATCCTCTGCACACCACAGCCTCCCAGACCTGCAGCAAGCTTAGGGAGAGATTACGCTTCCCTCAATGAGGAAATCAAGGGTTCTGGCTGCCAAAACTCTTGGCTTTCACATTTTCACTGTTTTGGGATGTGACAGACTGAGGAGCTCAGTTCTGCTGTTGAATTTGCATCTGTAGGACCCCACTGAAATCAAGAGCCCATCTGGCTGTTTGGAGGGGAAGGGACTGGGGCACATTTGCTGGCAGTGCCAGAAGTGACTTTCTCCCCAACTTTTTGCCCCAGTTGCAAAGCGGGAAGCTGTGTGGCTGTACAGATCTGAGGGAAGGGGTGGGTTTGACTGGAATACACCTCTTTTTCAGAGTTGCTCTTGTGTCTTCACCTACTTTCTGCCCCCCACTTTCTGCCCGTGACCACTGCTCCCCTTGCACCCCTCCCTGCTGGCATATGAGAAATTACTGCGAGTGGTACAGGAGGAGCCCCGTGTGTGTCTAGAGGGGAAACCTGTTGTGTCTATTAAAAATCTCATGTAGGACCCAAGTTGTTATCAGCTTCTGCGCCTGAGCCCTGACATAACGGAGTTCTTCTGCTAATCCAGGCTACAGGAGTTTCTGTCTGGAGCCAACTCTCCTTACGTCACCCTCTGCTGCAGTATTCAATTTGTTTTCATAAATGGCTAATTTTACAGCGCTGTTAAGTGGGTTCGTCATTGTGCCGGGCCATGCCCTGTCTCTGATGAGAGGCAGTCCTGGTGCCAGGCTCTGCCAATTTTCACGCTGCTTGGCAGCGATGTTATTGCCGCCCTGTTTGACTCCACTGATATCTGCTCTGGCATTTGTCAGAGGGAAAGCTGTTGGGAAACTGCGAGTCTGACCCATTGATCCGCGTTACGCAAAAGCTCAGGAGCCCTGTCGGGGCTGGGCTGCGCTCCTCGGAGCGGTGCTGCTCCCGGAGCACTCCCTCCTTCCATCCCTCCTTCCATCCCTGCTCCCTCCCTCCTTCCCCGGGCGGCAGAGTTCTCGGACAAACCCTGCTGGGATGTGCGCACCTAGCACAGCGCATCCCTCTTGTAAACACGCACATGTGCGCCTGGAATCGGGCAGGAGCCTTCCCCTGGAGCATCCCGCGCAGCCTGGGGATGCTGGTGCAGGAAAGGGTTAAGGTGAGGCTGTGCTGGGTTAGGTAATGCACACACACCGTGCGAAATGAGGGGCTTCAAAGCGCTGCTGACCTTGGAATCAAAGGGATTTCGGTTCCACTGTGAAAAAGCTACCCCATCCTAAGAAACAGGATCCTCCTGGGTCCCTGTCGGGTGTTTTCTGCTGTGTGGGGTGGCTCATGTTTTCACAGGAGAGAGATGTTGACTCTTTACTGGCTGGGAGCTGAGAGGAGCGGGATGAATGATCGCCAGAGTAAAAAGGCGTGCCTGCTCTGAAGTGAAAGTTATTTGTATTTTGGTTTGGGTTTTTTGTTTGTTTGTTTTTTCCCCACTTCTTTTATTCCCCTCTGTCTCTGTTCCTCAGCCTGCCAACAGGGAGCATGATCCCAACTTAATAAAGCTTCATGTGTAAAGGACTGCCTGTGTTTTCCCAAATTCAGTCCTTGATGAGCCTAAAACTGCAGCAGAATCCAAAGGGAGAGAAAAGCCAAAATCAGCACGGTGGAGCTCACTTAAAGCCACAGCTTTTGAATGTAAGAGACTGAGAAACATCCGTGTCAGGGTCCAATAACTGGGCAATTATAAAGATACGTAACTGACACTGCATAGATCTAGTACCTCCACGGAGTTTCAGAATATATGTTTACTTTGGGGAGTTGTTTCCCTCTGAAGTTTTGGAGTCTGATATTGGTTTAATACACTTCGGGTAGAATTGGTGAGCTGGGTCCTATCTCCAGAGCTGATCCTGTGTGGGGTGTGCTGGGAACTTGAGGATGTTTTCAACAGAGAGTTTACTCAGAGTTTCACTGGCATTAAAACAACAGGCAGGTAGATAACGTGGCATTTTCAACAGCCTGGTGTCTTCCAATTGCATGAATTTTCTAGCTGTGTTCTGTAATGAAGAGCTACAATGAAGGAGTAAGTCAAATACAAACCTTGTGGTTCTGTTTTTTAGTTAGTGCTGGCATGTGCAAGGTCCCAGGGTGCTGGCCATGGTGGGCAGAGTGGAGAGGCAGGAGCTGGAACACCTGCACAGAAATTCCTGCAAGGTGACAGATTTCTAAAACACCATTGCTGGAGGGTGGGGGAAGCTGTGTGGGTTTGGCTTCCCTGTGGATGGGTTCAAATGATAATCCACTTCATGACTATGGATCTGGACATGGCTTGACTCATAGGTCACTGAACAAAATACTCTCACAGCTTGTCATTTACTAAATATTTGCCTTTGAACAGCACATTTCATTCAGCTTGTGGAAGCTGGGACAAGAATCAGAAACTGATTTTTCTTTTCGTAACATTTCCAATTTAATCTGGTCTCATTCTTTTGACCAGCTACACTCTAGAGTCAGAACAGCACCATTAAAAGAAAGTTGTTGGGTTTTTTTTGACCCTTAAAACACACACAGGCTGCTCTATTTAATTAAAAGATAATAAAACAGTGAGGGCAGTTTGACTCTGTGTGTGTGAAGGATGGCAAATTTAGATTCCTCAATGATGTTTGGCCGTCTCCTGTAGGCATGGGGTTGTGTCCCAGGCTCAGTTTGCCTCTCCAAGCTTCATTTCAGCCTGATTTATTTCAAGCCAGCCTGTTTCAGTTAGAGGAACTCACGTGAGGCAGAAAGCAAGCGGCGAGGATGGTGTTTGGAGAGAAAGCAGGAGCAGGGCTGTCCTCAGGGACTCGTGGAGATGTCTGGAGGAGAGCAGAGCAGAGCTGTGCAGGGCGGGCTCGGGGCTGAGGGTGAGGGGGAGCCCTTGGAGAGCCTTCGCACGCAAA